CCCCCCCCCCCTTCTGCAATACAGGGACTTCTGAATTACTATCAGTGTCTGATAAGATAAACACCCTCCATGGTCTCCACTTCTGTATTAGGTTATTGTTTTTGCTTGTGTTCTGGATTTAGACAGTCAAATGTACAGAAGTTGATAAAAAGATCACAAGAAAAGTGACAAATAAAAACATGCTTCAGTCTTCATTGCTGCAAGTGGGAGCCAACCTGGCAGCTACTGGATTATCTGAACAGCTCCTACAATCATGATCCATTTCTCTGCTCTTCCTGATGCCCATATAAAATCTATAAGAGATTGGCACATTTACCTTTACCTTAGAGTTTGATACATACAAAAACAGATGTGAGAATTAAATGAAATTAGCTACAAATATATAAAATTGAGCACAGTTGCTGCACGCCCTCAGGGCATAAGGAGACAGAAAACAGCTAGACCAAACAGAACACAAAATCGATGATTGGTAGTTAACCCATCAAATGCTTACCTACCAAACCATTTGCATTTCCGCTTAGCCAGTCTCGTCATAAAGGCAACCCTACCAGACAGCAAAGCCAGGTGGATAACAACACCCTCTCTCTTATGGTTAGGTAATACAATAGTGTGACCCAACCAACCCCAGTCTGCACCTTTCTCTCCTATAAGGTTTACAATGTTATACTGACAGCACTGTGCAGTCAACGGAGTCCTGATTGGCTCAGAGTGCTGCCCCTCCTTGGATTCCGGCACTTATACTAGCTCCACATGAGAAAACACTTGTCACTTCTACATAAGGGGCTTCAGCTTTAATATGGCAATTTGCAGAATACAGTTACAATTCAGCAATGTCCTTTTTTTTTAATTATAACTTCAGGTTGTTAAACCTGCAATCATGAATTATCATGACACATCGCTTGGTCTGCGTAAAGTGCACTACATGTGAAGTTAGGGTTCAGTCATATTCTGCACAGGAATGTATGATGCACACATACAGAACGGTATAAACACAGCTTTCTGTCTTCTTACTTCTCCTTGTAGTCTAGGAAGACCTGGCCGATGGTGCTGCCGCCAGACATGATGGACATTTCAATTGTTCTCAGGAAATTGAAGTGGACTTTTATGAGGTCCTAGAGGAGATCAGAAGAAGAGATGGATAAGAAAAGACACCATGACCTACCGCCAAACACCGTGAGACGAAATACAGGCGCAACGTCTTTGAGGATACAGACACACACAGGAAATCTGGGATGATTGTCTGCATCAAATACTTATAGACCACCGACATGCATTATCTCAGGAAAAAGCTTCCAATGCACAGACAGTTCAGGATTAGATTATGTAATGTAGCCTAAGGCAGAGCATGCAATCAAATGCTCTCAGTAGAAAGGAAAACCACCATTTCCAAAGCAGTCTGGGTTACCTGAGACGTTCCCTACTATCATGAGGAAAACCACAATCTGCCAGATTTTACCATTCATGGCAACGGTTGAATCCGACAGATACAGGTGTATAGTACAGGTGCCAACTGCCCAGATCATCCAGGCAACAGGAAAGAGTAATGAGAAGACCTTCCAACACTGTATCGTCTATCCTGGCTATTTCATGGTAGATTTGCCATTAAAATCGGTGGCAACCTTAATATGAGCCAAATACCAGAAAAATTCTGAAATGGCCGTCGGCTTCTAAATGGATATGGGCACCTTAAGGAAGACGGACTCTGACTTCTTTATCGAGGAAACCATAGCAATAGTTGGGATGTGTATGGTGGATTTGCAAGTGAGTATGCAGCCAGATCTAGTGTAACCATCCTGCTCCAAAATATTTTTTCCTTGATACACTTTCGTGATCATTCCTTTCATAGTGCATAATGCATAGCAACGTAAGTGAGCTGAAAATAATGCTAACAGGCACCTCTAAGTGCTGGCTGGGTATGTGTAGGCATGGACATCTAGGAAAGTTGGGGCAAAAGATAAACCAAACTAATACATACCCCAACATTTCACTAGGAGTGAGAGATGCCACCTGGTAAAGGGTGTCTGATTTCCCAGGAGCAATGCCCCTTCCTAGTAAACTAACCGAGCAATGTGACAAAAACTGCATCCCCAAAAATAGGCACATTATCAGCAAAACCTCGTTATGTCAGTAAATAAATCTGCTTCTTACCTCCAAATTAATGAAAATGACAGCAGTCTCAGCAGGTGTAAGGAGCTGCTTTAGGGGTACCATGTAATTCTAGGAAGAAATGACAATAAATATTATTATAGGTAACAAAATAACCAAAGAATATAAAATACTGTCCTACAGCATACAGTACATGATGGACAAACCTGGATGGTATATCCACTAATACAATATAAAGACAAAATATGTCCAGGTGACCTATATTGTACTTCATGGCTAGATGTGATCCCACTCCACCTCAATCTCACCATTCTGATGTCTTCCAACGTCTTGTAATATTTGTCCTCTGTGTCACGAATTTCCAACAAGCAGCAATTCCTCTTATCGTCTTCTGTCATCCCCAGTTTCTGATGGAAGATAAACAGATCAATTAAACATATCATAAGAGGGAAAGAATTTCCTCCCAAGTTTTCCCTGCCAGTTGTCACTGCACAGGTCACTCCTCAACACAAGGGGAGAGGGCCGCACACATTCCATTGGACAGCTGTTGATGAACTACAGGCTCCAGTATGCTCTGCAATACTCTGGAGGAACCCAGAGTGGCCAGTCTTATTCTATAGGCCTTATAATTTCCCCAGGTGTAGGGCCCCTAGAGCTATAATCCCACTTCCTGGTACAGCATCCCCTTATGGAGGCATTGTGTACTGTCAACCTGTTAGCAGTCTGCGTAATTAGCGAAGAGCACAGGGAATAGCAGAGAGGTTTTGTGGTCTCTGTTTAGTCGGAGTAAATTCTTACCTGCATATACCTTATCTGAGGCATGGAAGGAAAGACACAAAACAGAGGAAAAAAAGATTTAATAAAAAATAACTGCACCAGCAGAAGTACTATAAGCCTAGGACCAGCTAATCATAGAGAGGATGTGGACCGAAAATAATACAAGTCTGCAATCCAAGGTATACCTCCAAGGTATTGTCCAACCACAATCTTTTTTAGCCTAGGAAGCACCATTAAAATCAGTACGATACAAGTAAACACATTCACAACTAAATCATCAACATAAATTCTTTACAAACACCAAAATGTTGACGCAGTTCTCTAATAGGAACATAAGAGGGTCCTCCCAGGCTGAGAATCGCTCTACTGGTCAGAGTACTAGTTCCAAACTGATTGCTCAACCTGGGGTAAGTACCTGTCCATTATACCTGTGCTTCCTTTCCCCCTATCGCTATGATGCTTACATAAAAACCCCAGGCTTTGGCATCTGCAGTCATTTTAGGGAATTATAGATAGCAAAATAAATGATGTTTTTGGGGAGCCTTTTAGGGAGATATTGTTGTACCAGTGTGTAGGCATAAATGAAGATCCCTGTTGAATCACATTTTCAGATTCTATTTTGTCAGTGTAATATTATGATTAAAGAAACATATGGTATGTATCTCCTAAGTAAGAATGTTCACTAAATAGGGTATAAGACCAGGCACACTACCAGAAGTAAATGATATGCCATCTAAAGGTTAACAGGTTAAAGATATTCCACTATATGATCATATTCTAGATGTATATTATATTAAAGAAAAAAAACATACATACTCAGGGGCGTCCCAAGGCTGGGTGACACCCAGAGCGGTAACCGAGTGTCACCCCGCCGAGACGTCACCACGCGTGGCAGTCTCCTGATACCTGACGGCGGCCATCTTGGTGATGGACGCCGGCAGAGAGAGGAGGGGACAGTCACCCGGCGAGATAAGGTATGCCGCCGGGTCCCCTCCTCTCTCCTGATACAGTAGGGCGTTCGGTCCATGACCGAGCACCAGACTTTTCAGAGGGGGGTGACACCAAAATGACTGAGTCATTTTGGTGTCACCACTCCTATGGTGTCAACCGGGTGCGGGCCGCACCCCCCTTGTGACGCCAATGTACAAACTATTAAATACAGTTAGAGACTTTAAAACATTTAATATACACTTTAACACATGTTTTGTCACTTGTTCATGAGACAAAGTTGCAAGTCACCTTTTCTTAGTAGGGTGTTAGCTGTTATCTTAAAATCATTGGAGAAATTGCCATTCTAGGAGTTTTTAGACTAAAACATGTATACGTGTGGACCAAATAATGCAGATTCAGGATGTATTGTTAAACTGAACAATGATGTAGCCCAGGGCTCAAAATTTCAAGTCCTGAGCTACTAGCCAGGCCTTAAGAGTCACTAGCCACCAGTTGCCCCACCTAACCCTTACCCTGCCCCGACCTTAACTCCGCCCCTAAACACACCCTCTTAAATAATCTTATGATAATTCTTATCTTATGATAGTTGCCGCTTGTAAACGGCAGATTAGGGATTCCTGCTGCAGGAAAACGCAAGTTCCTGACACAGGAATCTCTAATCACACCTGAAATATACTGTAGGTGTGAATGGGGCCTAATATACACATACACTAAAGGTGTCCATACACCTGCTGATTATCGAACGATAATCGCGGGTGATCCAGCGATCGTACGATAATCGGCAGGTGTATGGGCAGAGTGTGACCGCTTCTACTATAAGGTCGTACGACTTTCGTCTTGCAAGCACGCTGGAAAACCTGTCAAGCGCACACTGCCCACCCAGCACTGCAATCATCGGAAGCCCTGCTCTCAGCGGGGAGGGCTTGCGATGATCGCAAGTACGATCTGCCTGTCCAAGATGTGCAGATCGTACGAGATTTTAATGACCTCACAACCATTGCACAACGAAGGTCGTGCGATGGTGTAAGGTGTATGGGCAGCTTAAAGCACAATAATACACTGCTCAACAACGTCACATCCACCTTTGCGACCGTGTGCCTGACATATCAACTGGCGGTGGGCCACATAGTACCGGCTCGCGGGCCGGAGTTGGACCGCAAGTTGGTACTTGGAGACCCAAATTTCCACTCGCCCTCACCTTATTTTTACTCGCAAAATGCGAGCAGGCGAGTGGAATTTTTGAGCCCTGATGTAGCCTAATCTTTATCTTGATGTGTGGACCTTTATAAGCTGTATGAACTACAGTGGGGTTGGAATTGGCATGACAGACTAAGGCCTTTCCCCACACGCGTGTGTCAAATGAACCTTTTATCTGATTTGGATCTACTCACATACTGTTGCTGCTTTGCTCTTAAAATTCCCTTATCACCAGGTGTTTGAGAATTGTTTCTATAACAAATATTCTTGCCTGGAGGGCCACCTTTGTAATACCACATTCCTTTGATCGTCTTCTGTAGGGAGTTTAATATAATGAGATGAAAGTAATTGGTGCTAATACATCTGACAGCTGGTGGCTTGGAGTTGTATGGTAGAAACTAAGTAATTCTTCTATGGGAATTAAAATGCACTTTTTGAAACTTTACATAAAAAAAAAAATTTGATATTGCACACTAGAGATTTGTATCTCAATTCCTGGACCTCTAACAAGGCTGGCTGTGTTGGCTAAAAAAAAAAATGGTAATTGCATTAGAATTTTTTTTAATGGAATATGTGTTTATAATTAATACAATAAAGTAAATGATATCTTTTCAAGTATCATACTGATTTAGTGATGCTTTTGTCTGCATCTTCTGCACTTGGAAGAATCCTGTTGGGAGTTGTAGTTTAATTACAGTTGGCAGCTGCAAGTTGAAATAACTTCATTCTATAATATGTAAGTGCTGCTGTGCCTGCGGCGAGGACCCTGACAAGCACATGTACAGTTCTGTCGGAGATGATTCGGCGTACAGACATGTCCAGTACAGGGAGTCAGCATCTCCTGAGCTTCATCTTTAACATTTGCCCTTTTCAGCTCCTCCATGCTTGTCAGCTGCCAGCAGGCAATGTGGAAGTGTTCTAGGCAGGGGGCTGCTCGGTTTCCACATGATTGCAGACGTTAGCTGTCTGCCCCAGGGCAACTGGAAAAGGGACAGCAGGGGGTTGAAGAGAAGAGCGTACATGGAGATCCGCAGATCGCACAGCGCCAACCCTCCTTTTTCTAAGCTAAGATCATCAAGGTGCTTAACAACTGCAGAATACATCAGAGCTATATAATTTAGAGCGTAAGCACCACTGGTGCATGGAGTGATGTGATTGGGTTCTACTGCAGAATACATCAGAGCTATATCAATTAGAGTGTAAGCACCTCTGGTGCAGGGAGTGATGTGATTGGGTTCTCTGTACAGCACTGAGGAATATGTCAGAGCTAAATTCAGCACCACGCAATTATTTATAGAATCTCACCATCGGTTGTTGGTTCTCCACCTTGATGATGTCTTCGTAAATGTCATCCTCCTCACAAGGTACATCATAAGTGTCGTTCTCACCCAAGTCATGTTCACTGAATAGAATAACAAAAGGAGATTAACAATAAACCTTTCTAACACTTAGAATATAGAAAGGCTCAAGAAAGCATCATAAAAATGTGTCAGGATTCACATAACACACTGATAACTTACAGTGTAACTTCAGACAAAACCTTTGTCCCACTGGACACAGGAAATTCTTAAACGTTTGGGTTATATTGCTCCCTTATAGAAGGTCTAGATACTGTAGGCCAACTCAAGGTATAACTGTTGCTACTACCAGTGTGTCTGTTTTTTTTGCTAGTGTCCTAGGAGAATGGTTGTCTTTTCTTCAACTCTGCTGTTTTAAAATCTAACCCAAGATTTCCCTAGCTTTTTTCCTACTTCACTTTTTTCTTTAATCAAGGACTTCTCTACACTACTGCTGCAGATCTCCGCTCCCAATTTAGAGCTATCTGGCACAGCCTGGCTTTTAAACTGTACCACATCCTGACCACACTGGACTAGATCCTGGCGGGCTAGCCTTGAAGTGACCTTTGGGCAATGGGTTTTATGTGTGGCGCTTTTCAGGCTCTGTGGCAACAACATGTCTAATTCTAAACATGGGGGAGGACAGTCCTATTGTATTGGGTGCTCCCAGCTCACTTTCTACTAACAGCTCAGGGGCTGCTTACTAGTACGCCAACATATGGTTCTGACGTCTGCAGCCTGGAGCCATGTTGTCCTTTGCTACTACAGCCTCTGCCCTCCTTGCAATCCTCCTTTGCTCCACTAAGTGTAGCTGGGTTCACTGCCTCCTCCTTGGCTAAGTTTTTTGGTCATTCAGGACTAACCTTACCTGTCTCACCTTAACTGGGCAACTACTATAATGGAGGAGGATGCACCTGTCTTTAAGGACTTAACCAATAAGTGGTTGGAAGCCCTTTCTAGTACTTCGAACTTGCTGGTTGATCCTTCTCTGCACCCAATTCTAGCTGTGACTTTATTTGGTTAAAACATGTCTGACTGGTCAAATCCCTTAAAGGGATATATCCACTGCTGCCATTCATCCTTTGCTCACTGAACAAATGGTTGTAACAAAATTTGGTTGCGACAGTTTACTGGAGTCCGGTTTTATTTCTTACATTTGTCTTCTGTTTGTGCATACGCATAGGGCCATGGTCGGCGGACCGTACTCACTGGCAATGGAGGCTCTGGGGTTTTTGGGACTGCAAGGCACTGATAGAAGACAGGGTGACACCAAAGGCTCAGAAGTCAGGAAGAGTAGGGATCAGGATGTCTGCACGATTGGTGAGGGTTTAATAGAGGTGCCAGAGAGTCTAAGAAGCTCCAGGTATTCAGCAGAGCTCCCCGTACGGGAGACGGGCTTCGCTGAAGGACAGCTCCCAGGTTGCGGCCCTCTAACACACACACGTAGACACAGCTGACAGAATTCTGCAGAGGCTACAAGATCACTAGGAAAGTGGGATGCAATAGCTGAGGGTTAGGCGTAACACCAGGGCTTGGAATGCACAGACTCAAGCGAAGTGAGACCGTGGTAGCGCAGAGGTTCAGAAATCAGTGGTGCACAGAGGAGGAAGTCCATTACTGCACTGAGATACAGGAATCATTGGCTCACAGAGGAGAAAGACAGTGCAGCACTAAGGTTCAGGATTCACTAGTAGGGAGACAGTTGTAGCACTGCTGCACAAAGGGAACTTGCTCAATAGGCGAATGCATGGCACACAGAAGCAGGAATGCTGGCACTTGGAGAGCATGCAGGTGTGGTGATGTCGGCAGCTCAGACAAGCACACTGTTGAATGACTGTAGTATGATGTGCACACAAATGCTGTAACGTAAGGAGCCTCTCACAGTGATCAGTGCACAGGAGTACAGGCACAAAAGAAGTCTCTTTGAATAAACACAGGAACACAATAGGATGCGGTTCCCTAAATGGCAGACCATGGTCCGGATACAGACCCAGTAGCGGTTCTTTCTGGACCACACAGGTCCCTACTCCTCTTCAGTCATTGGTTGCTTGGCCCTCAGCGTTCCTAGCAACCAATGATGTCAGCTTTGTTTCCCAACCAGCATTAAGGGAGGACAGAAGAATATTATCTTCTGTCCTCCCCTGCAGCCCGAAGTCTGCCCCCCCTCCTGGCTCCTCACCTCCCAGCTACTCCTATGCTCCCCTCCCAGCACCACCTCTTAACCCCTCCCAGTACCTCTTCCATCTCCATAACGAATATAACAGCAGCATTTTAGAGGGGCACTCTAGGGACAACCAGTATAAGGGGCCACTCTGATAGGGACAACTACTTATTTGTTGTCCTCAACAGAGTGCAACCTAACATTAGCTGCCCCCATCAGAATGCCCACCAACATTAAATAAAAAAATAAGGGAGCACTCAGATGGGAACAGACAATGTAAGGATGCACTCTAAAGGGGATAGCTAATTATTATTATTTTGGGTGTCCCCATCAGAGTGCCCCATTACATTAAATACAAAAATAAGGGAGCACTGTGATGGAGAAACCCAATATAAGGGGGCACTCTGATGAGGAAAAGCAATGCAAGAGGGCACTCTGATAGGGATAACTAATTATTATTATGATATTGGGTGTCCCCATCAGCATTCCCCCTTATATTGGGTGTCCCCATCACAGTGCTCCCTTGTTTTTGTATATATTGTAAGGGGGAACTTGGATTGGGACACCTAATCTAAGGGGGCACTCTGATGGGGACAACTAAAGTAAGAAGGCTCTAATGTGGGGACATCTAATTTAAGGGGGCACTGTGATGGGGACATCTGGTGTAAGGGAGCACTCTTATGTGGAGAACTAATGCAAGGGGGCACTCTGATGGATGCTGCACCTTTTTTCAGTGAGGCCAGCCACGCTGTATAGGCGCTTTGCCTATAGAACTTAATGAAATTTAACTTGTGACATTTCAATAAAGTTCTAACAAAAAATGTAAACAAAGTACGATGCTCCGGGATTAGTGCATCAGCACTGTGTCTGGGACAACACACCAGCAGCTGTGCCTTGTAGTGCAGCTGCTGGGGTGATTGCAGCCTAAATGGCAGACCACGGTCCAAAAAACGGACTAAGTAACCGTTTCGTTTAGACCATGATTGAGACCTAGGCTTGTAGAAAATGTAAGTCACCTGACCTCCATGAATTTTAATTCACTACCCCTGCACTAGGAGCACAGAGGAATCTAAAGGAGACACTGGAAACAGCAATAAAGGGATAACAACAGGTCACAAGGATCCTTGGGAAGCAAAATGTAACCTTCAGGAGACAGAGGTTCCAGCAGCTAGTGTACTGATGTTGCTCGAATGTTGAGCAACAGTTACACTAGCCCTTTAATACAGAGGATCTGAATGGACTAGCTTCAGAGCCTGCGATTGGCTGGAAGTGAATTAACACGTACAAATGAAGAAAAAAAAAACAGATGATGGAACATAGCACAGGTAAGTGTGACACATAAGTCCTTTGGCTAAAGTACAAGGTTGCGGAGCTCTCTTGTAAGAAGCATTGGATCCGCGTGACCCGCAAGGGACAGATCTTCAGACTGGCTCTTGATAATTTTATCAAGGATGCTAATGGTTGCAAGAACACTCACCTTCCTTAGTATAAGAAGCCTAAGGAACAGACTGAAAAGTCAGCTCCCTCTCTGTGCTCATCAAGAAGTGTCCCTTTCGTTTCTCAACATCCTCAACTTCAATGTTGAGCCAACCTCCCCACCACCACCGAGCCTGGCTCCCTGTCCACCTTCAAGTCTGGCATTCCGAGCCTGCCATATTCTTAGACAAGCCTTCCTGCATTAAAATTTCCCCCCACTTCTCACAGTGTTGGGACATCTGTTGACCTTTGTGGGCACTTGGATAGTTTCTGTTTCAGGTACTTGAGTGCAGGAGGTGGTGTCTCAGGGCTACAAACTCAAAGATGTGTTCCCTGCCCCCTCCTTGTGTTCTCACTTCCTACCTTCATGTGCCTCCACACAGACTAGGGTCTTCTGGATCAGAGTATCTGGTCCCTGTGGTAGAATGGTTTCAGGGGTTTATTCCAGCCTATTCCCAGTTTCAAAATCCAGGTGGGATTCATCCTATCTTAGACCTCAAGGCACTAAATGTTTACATTTGGGTCCAAACGTTTTGGATGGAATCCCCCAGATCTATGAATGCCTCCCTTCACCATGAAGACTTACTGGCTTCTGTGGACATAAAAGATGAATAATTACATGTGTCCATCATTCCAGAACATTACAACTACACTACTTCCAATCCTGGACAGAACTGCATGTTCCATCCCTGTCAGCTTTGTACATTCTAGGCATAGACAACTGGCAAGCAGATTTCCTTGACCGGCAGCATCTGGACCCAAGGGAGTGGTCTCTACAGTACTGGTGCCGCAGGTGGGAGATGCCAGATGTGGATCTCCTGGTTTTCAGGTTCAACAACAAGCTGGATAGGTTTGTACCCAATGTCAGGGATTTAATAATGGAAGCAATAGATGTTCTGGTGGCTCAGTGAGATTAGTACACCCTGATCTATGCCTTTCCTCACCTGAAGCTTCTTCCTCATCTGCTCTGCAAGATCAAAATGGAGGGAATTCCAGGGATTCTCATTGCTCCAGACTGGACTAGGTGGATGTGGTACACTGACCTGGTATGGCTTCAAGCAAACACACTGTGGGCCCTACCACACCATCCAGATCTACTGTCCCGGGGCCAATTTGCCTTCCTGCTTCTCAGTCACTTGCTTTAATGGTATAGGTTGTGAAGATTCTGAGGGACAGGGGCATGTGTGATTTTGTGATTCCTATGATGCTCCAGGCTAGACAGTCTACCGACTGCAAATCTATCATCAGATTTAGAAAGCTTACTTTACTTTGTGTGAGTCTAGGGGCTTTTATCCCAAAGGTGTCTTCGTGGGAAGAATTTTCTCCTTCCTGCAGCTGGGTCTGGACCAGTGTTTGGGTCTCAGAACCATTAAAGGCCAAGTCTCTGTTCATTACATTCTATTTTAGAGATTGTTGACCTCTCACTCT